GCAAGCCAATACAGGTCTGCAGAAGATTACCTGAACACTGAAAATCTTTTCATTTCAGAATCATTCCTTGCATTTTTTATGGGATTATCATAACTTCTCCCCCCCTGATATTCTCTGGGTGGGGAGTGACTTTTAATCCAAGGTTCTCCGACTTCCGCCTTTGTTTCCCACCCCGTGATCTCTGGCAGTCATAACACACAGAAGTCATGACAGCGTGTTTTTCCACAAATGAATTATATCTTAAATGAAGATTAGGGGTTATTTTGTCCTCTGGCATAACAGGCTACTTGCACTGGAGGCCTTCCGCCTGCACTGGAAGGTTAAAGAGAGGACAGGTTAGTGTGTGGGAGATTTAATTCTTATTTAAATAACCTAGGATATAATGGTAAAGGCGAGAAAGAAGAACGCAGTGGAAATACGGATACATCTGCGTGCGTGGTGCCTGTGCGTGGATGTAAATTTTCTCGGTGTTCTGGGTTCGCTTCAAATTGACTCCGCTGCAAATCATCCGGGTCCGAGGCTTCAGTCCCTGTTCCGCGCGAGAAATGAGCACCGCATCTGCCTTTTGCGGTGCCGAGGGCTCCAGCCTGCAACCTTTTTGTCACCAGCCCCGAGCCGCCGCTCGGCGTGCGCTCCTTGGCGTGCTAATTCTCCTGTGTCAGAATAAAGCTCTCGTGGTTTTGTGCTGAGGAGGGATGCGGCCGTTCGCCAGGTAAAATACCAGCCCAGAACGTGGGGGTTAAAACTGGGGAGAGCTACAGCGGCTCCCCGGCTCAGGGGGTCGAGAAGGATGAGGACGGGCGAGCCTCCCCCCCCCACCGCAGGATGCTAAAGCGGCGAATAAATAGGGCATCTGTGGAGGAGGGGTTTCCTCTTCCATGCCTGCCGTGGTCGCACAGGCAGTCCCCTTGGCAGCTTGGGATTTGCAGGCTGAGGAGTGGTTTTTTCTTGCGAACCGTAAGTGCCGTGTTGGTAAGCGGGTGCGGGTTTGGTGGTGGCGGTGGGTTTTGCTGGAGCAGGCATGGCTGGCGCAGCGGGACCGGCCGGCCTTGGGCAGCGGGGGGGAAGGGCACCGCGGCGGCGATGCTGCCGGCGGCTCCCTGCAATTCCCCTTGGATAAGTGGATGAGCCGGAGACGCGGACCGTTAGCCGGAGGAT